TATGGCGTGCCATGCTGCAGCGCCAAGCCTGGGGGCCAGAGTGAGTGAGAAGGGGGCAGGGTGGGGCCGTCTCTCAGTGCAGAGGGCGGAGCTGGAGCCTCCAAACACGCCCCCTGCAGAGGCCTTCTGCTGTCCCCGCCCGGGCACGCAGATGCACCCCGCCCCTCGCCCCGGCTCAGGCAGGCTCCGAGCCCCACAACAGGCTGGCTGTGCATGGTGCTGCTCCAGTCCAGCACCCTCTAGCAAGGAGCAGAAGGGGGCAGGAACCCACTCAGCCTCCAGGCCTGTCTTCAGGGAGACTGCCTAGCCAGCCCCTTCCCCTTAACCCCACTGTTCCCTACTCCCAGCCCAGGCCCCCACCCCTGCTCCTGGGGACACTGTCCCAGCTTCTCACTGGGTCCCTCTTTCACCCAGCACCTTCCAGCTCTCCACGAAGGTCCCGCCATGCCTCACCCTGCCTGAGTACATTCCCTGACTCCCCACTGCCCTCGGTATGAAGGCCAGGCCCCTCAGCAGAAGATTCAAAACTCCCCCGCAGGCCAGAATCCCATCTCCCTCTTCAGCTCAGATCACTGCCTTCCACTAACTCAGAGCTTTGGGACACCAGCCTTCTCACCAGCCAGCCCTCCCACTCTGAGCCTTTGCATATGCTGTTCCCTTGCCCCGAAGCGCCCTTCCTGCCCCACCCCCTACTGTGAAGTCTCTGTTACAGGAGCAGTCCATACTCCCAAGTGGAAAAGCTCTCTCCCAAATGGAAAAGCTCTCCCTGCCCCGTGGCCCCGGCCCCCAGCCCTCTGCCCCCTAGAGAGAGGGACACAGCAGTGACAGCTCCCAGGTCCATGCGGCCACAAGAGAGGAGTGACCCACACGCTGTGGTCACTGTGCGGGGAGAGGAACAGGCCCTGTGGATGGCCATCCTGGTGGGAGGAAGTCAGCGGCCGCAGAACAAACTCTGGGTTTGAGTCACAAAGAGCCTTTTCATGTATACAGGTCGGATACAGATGCTGACCTCAGCCTGGAAGTCCCGAATAAAAGAAAACCCTGTGTCTCCTAGCTTGCACCAGCTTTGACCTGCTTGCGATGATCTAAACTCTGCCCTCTGTGCCACAGGGCACCTCTGCCCGGGAAGGGGGGAGGCAGGTGGTTTGTTCATTTAAAATGCCACTCGACCTAAGTCACCAGCCATAAAGCCCACCTGGGTTTCCAGCAGCACATACCAGGCGTCTGATTAATGATACACACATAATAATCCATCCCTAAGAGCCATAGGTTGAAATGGAGCAGGAGGGCTAATTGCTAATACAGGAATTAATATCAGTGAGAACAGATCCTCAGGGCAGCTGGGAACTGCGAAGCTGGGGAGTGTTTCCACTTCGGGGCAGGTGGGGGGAGCCCTGAGGTCCAAAGGTGTGGCCAGGGCCCTAGAAGACAGGATAGGGAGGTGGTTGGGGGAGACCCAGCCACACCTGCCCCCGTCTAGCTTGCCACTGAGTTCACATGTGACTATCACGACATGGGAGTCTGGGGAACCCCAGAACCACAGCACAGTGTTACCTCCCCATGAGGCTCTCCATGATCCACCCTCCCAGGCTGGGCAAGGCGGGCTTTTTGCTCCCATAGGGCCCAGTGTGGGTCTCACACCGTGGCCCTCTGCAAACCAATGGCCTCCCCACTGGATTTCGAGCTCCTGGAGGACAGGGGCTCCTCTTTGGATCCCAATGTCTTGTATGGTGCCAGGAGCATGACTGGACGCAGTACATAGTTGCTGGATGGAGGGAGAGAGGGAGGGAAGGGTGGACGGATGGACGGACGGATGGAGAGACAGAGAGAGGAACAGACAGAAAGATGGACAGGTAGATGGATGGATAGAAGATGGAGGGAGGGAGCAGTGACAGATGCATGGATGGATGGATGGATGGAAAGATGGACAGACGGATGGAAAGAGACAGGTAGATGGACAGAATGATGGAGAGATGGGGAGAGGGAGGGATTGATGCACGGATGGATGGATGGACAGATGCATGATGGGTGAATGGACAGAGAGATGGATGAATAGAGAGATATGTAGATGATGGATAGATGGATGGATGATTGCACGAGAGGGCCTCAGGAAAACCCAGTTCCCTTGGGGCAGTGGGCCCAGGGGCCACTGTGGGTTTGGTTGATGGCGTCTTTCTGTTGTACTGAGACTCCATTTCATGCAGAGAGAGGGGGACTGGGCCAGGGTTCAAGGCCCTGGCTGTCATGCAGGTTGTGCAAGCTTGGACACGTGCCCCCTTTTCAGTGCCATGGTCCTCTCTGCCCTAACAGCTGTACTGGGTTGTCCCCAGGCTCAAGGGAGATGGCAAAGCAGAAATGACCTGGAAAAGGCAAAGGTGCATTGTCCCCCTGCAGACGGTATCTCTGTATGGGCAGATCCAGCCAAAGTGGAATGGTGTAGACACGTGGGATCGTGCACTTGGCTCTCTTTCCCCCTTTCAGATTTCTTTTAATACAGTTATGATGTTATTATTTATAACAAAAAGTAAAACTGTAAGCATCTCAAGTACTTACAAATGGAAGCTTTTATTATTATGTTGACCCCAAAAATGGTTCATTTGGCGGAGCAGAGACCTGGAGCCTGTGGAAGCAGGGAAGGCCGTGGCAAGGGGTGGTGGGCAGAGAATGTCCTGTAGGGGGCGTACCTACGAGCTGGCCAAAGTGGCTT